TATTAGAAAAAGAAATAGAAAAAAAAGGATACAACCAAGCCCATCATCAGCAAATGACTTGGGCAAAGATTTCTTTTTACTACGGTTGAGCCGGAGCAGTTTTTCAAGATGCTTAATGTTACGGTCTTCTTCTTTGTTAGCTGCAAGGAGTAGCTTCTTTCTATTTGCCAACATATCAGACTGAAGCTTTTCTTGTTTGTTCTTATCATTACTTCTAGACTCATCTGAATTTGTTGCGCGGACATTTTTTGAAGGTTTCCCTACAGATTTGAGATCTAAAACATAATTAAAGGAAAGATCACAACCACATTTGAATAAAATGAAATGAAAGTGGCATAAAATGAATACCTTTATCTCTACTCTTTCCTGCGGCAACATTACTTCCTGAACCCTCTTCCGAGTTGGGTTTTAAACTGTTAGATTGATGTCTTATAGTACGCTTTAACTTCTTTTCTTTTCTCTGCTCTTTCCTCAATTCTTTCCTAGTTTTTTGAATGGGCTGCTTCTTGCCCTTCTTTCGTTGAGCCCATTTGCCCATAGTGAGTGAGACACTTAATGACAACAATTTCAGACTATAAAGTAATTTTGGTTTGATTGTTTCTGATAGTTTAAATAACTTGCTAACTCGAGTGCAACAAACAAAACCGGCAGTATCCACGTGCAATCCCAGTGATTCTCCAACGTCAACACGGTCAACAGTCAAGAGAGGAGAGAGAGCTGTTGGCCCTTCTTGACCCACGAGTTTGCAGGTTAGGATATACACTACTTCCTGGCCTCAGCAAATTCTCGTACGCAAGCCTCGCAGCTGCTCGCAGATGTGAACATCAATACGGAACGTCAGGCGCTAGTGGCGCTCCCTACGCGGAGAGTACACTAAACATCACTACTCTGTTCACATTCGTTTGTTTGCAGTTTGCAGACGATGGCCGAACCGTTGTTTAAGTGGAATAAAGTTGTAAATCCTTCGGGGCCGCAACCACGGCCTCGCCATGGACATCGAGCCGTGGCCATCAGGGATCTCATGATCGTGTTTGGTGGTGGAAATGAAGGCATTATCGACGAACTTCACGTTTTCAACACAGGTAAATACTCTGTCGGCCTTTATGCTACACAAAATGGCGGTGTCGTAGGCACTTTGGAGAGCGTTCATGTCAGAACTGTAACGGGAAGGTCGCTTTCCGCTTCTGATTGACAGAACTCTCTCTGTCGTCTCTTCCATTTTCTGTGCGCTCATCGAATACTTTTGCTTTCGTTCACGATAATTGCCTATTATGATTTGGCGGTTCAGTCCGGTTGAGCAAGATGGCGGCCTCCTACGCGGGCCCGGGCTGCCCCTATTGTGTCAGATGTGTTTGTCCCTGGAGCTTTGTCGAAGCTTTGGGTAGCTTCTTGTGCGGGAAGGCAAGACTAAAGAAGACGACGGGGTCCTCTCTCGCAAATCTAGGTCTTATGGCTTAAATTTGGTACGGGGTTTTGGTTAGTGACATTTGTTTGTGTTTGTTTCGGAGGACGCTCCATTTTGCCAACATTACAAAAATCTTCGTGGGTCTGGTTCAGAGCGAAAAGTCTTTACAAGTCGACTGTATATTTTGAACTGCGCTTATGGTTAACAGATTTCGCATTTAGATGGATCTCAATGCGCTGTTTTCCTTCAAATCAATATACGACCTGTTTCGTAGAATGGGCAAATCTTTGTATCAGTGGCACCCCTGTCCGTGTTAGGGCGCGCAATTCGAAATCTTGCGATGTGATGCCTACTCAATGGTCTCTTGTCATCTGATTGACCTCGTCTCTTTTCTTTTTTTTCTTTCAAATTTACAGCTACAAACAAATGGTTTGTGCCGCAATGCAAGGGAGACATCCCGCAGGGCTGCGCAGCCTACGGCTTTGTCGCGGAAGGAACTCGGATCCTAGTGTTTGGTGGCATGACAGAGTTTGGCAAGTACTCGGCTGACTTGTATGAACTGCAGGTGTGTTTCCAACTGTACTGATAGTCTTCATGGTGTGACTTAAACATCAAATTAATCATCCTTCGGTACCTTTTATTTGCAGGCAAGCAGGTGGGAGTGGAAAATGCTGAAACCTCGACCTCCCAAAAAATTTCCAGCTCCATGTCCAAGACTAGGTCATAGCTTTACTCTGATCGGAAACAGAGTTTTTCTCTTTGGAGGCTTGGCCAATGACAGTGATGATCCAACTAATAACATATCAAGGTACAAAGAGAAATTGTATGAATTTTGTCCTTTTCAGAGAAAAGAAAAATCTGCTCCCCTCCTAGTCCTTGCTCTGACAAGTTGCATTGACTACATAAATCTATCTACACTCTAAAAATATGAATGTTTTTTCTTGTTGGCTTGGGAACAGGTATCTTAATGACCTGTATGTGCTTGAACTGAAGGGAAACCACTGCTCGTGGGAAGTACCGGTCACTTATGGTGACCCCCCTCCACCCAGAGAATCTCATACCGCAGTTGCATACACAGACAAGCAAGGTCGTTCAATGCTGGTTATTTATGGTGGTATGAGTGGATGCCGCCTTGGGGACTTATGGATTCTTGACATTTGTGAGTGCTTGCAACAAGACTTTAAATCTGCCTTTCTTGTATGCGAACATTTCATCACGCATCATTAATGTATATTTCTTCTTCAGCAACAATGAGATGGTACAAGCCTAGTGTTCGTGGATTTGCTCCTTTGCCAAGATCTCTTCATTCTGCTACACTAATTGGGCATAGGATGTTCATCTTTGGTGGCTGGGTTCCTTTAGTACTGGACGATGTTGAAGTTGCCACTCATGAGAAAGAGTGGAAATGTACAAACAGTTTAGCTTGTCTGAATTTAGGTAAGTGGAGTATAATTATTTTATGTTGTCTGTTGTAATGCTTTTTATGATTTGTATTACGTAATTGCTGGTGCTCTCCTGTTGCTGCAGAAACCATGACCTGGGAGAGCTTTCAAATGGACACATATGAAGACAATATACCCAAAGCAAGGGCAGGTCACTCTGCTGTGGGCATTCACACTCGCATGTATGTGTGGTCTGGTCGTGACGGCTACCGAAAGGCTTGGAACAACCAGGTGAGAAAATTTTGTGAAATTATTTTCAGTCCATATCTGTCTAAAATTCATCACTCTCAAGTTAACATAATGAATGAATCATTGCCATTGTAGGTTTGTTGCAAAGATCTGTGGTATCTTGAAGTTGAAAAACCCGCCCAGCCTGGCAGAGTTCAATTGGCCAAGGCCCTCACAGACTCGTTGGAAGTCCACTGGACTGCAAGCCCTACTGCTGATGCTTACATTTTACAAATCATGGAATATGATTATCCTCCTGCCACGAGTGCACCTGCAGTAAGTCTTCAATTCATCGTATTCAAAACCTATTCAGCAAAAGCATTTTCACTAAAACCTTAACATTTTCCAGTTGCCTTCAACAAAGACATCGTCTTCGACCACCACAACTCAGGCAACCACCAGCTCATCAAAAACTACAGCAGCTGTAACACAGGCTGTTAGCTCACCGTCGCTGGCTAGAGTTGCGCTCCCAGTCTCTGGCCCTCCCACCCTAACCAATCCCCCAGCACTTGTCCCGGTCATCCGACAGCCTGCGCAGGCTCAGGGGTCTGGGCCAGCCGCTGCCAGCCAGGTCCGCTCTGTGCCTGTCCCTGTGCTAGTGTCTCCTAAAAAGCCCGCTGCCCCAGTAGGCACTGTCATCTCTGCTCCAGCGGCCACGAGAGGTAAGCCGGTAGTATTCAACTTCTTTATTTTGTTTTTGAGGAATGTGCTTTGTTTTTATTGACAAATCTTATGCAATGTTTTTCAGGCACGTCTGTGATTGCGTCTCCGCGAGGTGTGACCACAACTATTGTCCGACCTCGTGGGGCGGCGCCTGGGTCAGTTGTCCAAAATGCACCAGGAACTTTGGTGCGCATTCCGGGATCACCCACTGGTCGTCCCCAGAGACTACGACTCATTCGCATGCAGAGCCCAGGACAGGCGGGTGCTGGCATTGTTCAGAGTGTCATCTCCCCTGGTCAAAGCATCCTCTCTACGAGACCTGGTGTTGTCACATCAACAAATGCGGCACAATCTAGCTCAACTGTGGTCAGTGTAGTTCTTCATTGTAACCTATACCCTTACTTTCAATTAGCGCAGTTTTCTGATCTTTTTCCTTTTTGTTACTTCATTTAGGTAACATCTGCCCAAATGGTGGGTATTCAAGCACTTGCCGCTGCTGCAGCAGCTACTCCTAAAATGTCAACCCCCTCTGCCTCAAACTCCGTAACAACAGTCGTTAATACCTCTGGCATCATGTCAGTTGGTTCTGTTGGCCAAATCACTTCACAGGCGGGTCAACTTGTTCAAACCACCGCAGGGCAGGCTCAAGTGATACAATCCACCGCGCAGCTTGTTGCTGCATCTAGGCCTTCAGTTGTAGCTTCATCAGTAGCATCATCGACTGGTAGCCCCATTCGTATAGTCCAAACTCAAGGATCTCCAACTTATAGAGTTTCAACAGCTGGAGGCACAATAGGTATTTTGTTTTTCCTCCACTCAACAATTACTAGCCTATGTATGCATTATCTAATTCTCGGTTTCTTCACAGTTGGCCAGGCAATGAGGCTAGCATCCCCAGCCACAACACTCTTAAGAGCTGCCACTCCCCAGGGCAAACAGATGATCATTCAACGTTCAGGACAATCGGGACAACCAGGTCAAATTGTAACGCTTGTAAAGACAGGTCAAGGCATGACACTAGCTACGGTAATTTTCCCATCAGTCTCAGACTTAAAAGCTGCTCGAATAGCGAATCAGGGATTTTTCAATTTATTGCAATTTTCTTTTACAGATGCCCAAAATTAGTCTTGTCCCTACCAAAACTACAAGTAATGTGCAAACCATTCAGACAGGAAAAGTTGACAACACGCATGTCGTATCTTCCTCAGCACAGGGTACTGCCCTTCAAGCTGGTGGTGTCCTTCCTCAAGGTGCTACAATTGTCAAACTTCTCAATCCATCCACAGGTATGTGTAGCTAATGTTTCTGTTGTCCCATAGTGATTGTGAAATATTTTTGTCTTCATATATGATTTTCTCTGGTTTGACAGGCGTTCCGGGTAAACAGACCATTGTAATTAGGAAACCTGGCACTGGACAGCCGACTGTTTTAGGGAGAGGAGGGGGCGGACAGATCATCATGGTTACCTCTGGTGGTGCTCTGAGGACGGTGCAAACTCTCACTAGCACACAAGCTGGCCAAGGTAACGGAGTAGCAACACTGGCGCCGTCTTGGACTGATTGAAAGACAAGGCAACTAATCTCAACTTGTTCCTTGCACAGGTGTTTCAAGTCTTCAGAATGTGCCTGGACAACCAGGTGTGAAAATGATTGTCATGTCACCGGCTCAGGCTGCTCAGGCCGCTGCTGCTGGGGGCAAGCCCATTACTATTTCAGTCCCGGGACAGCAGGGCGGGCCACCGAAAATGGTCACCATCCAGGGTAAACCTGTCAGTAGTGGTTCAAATATTCTGAGTGGTGGGCAGATTATTACTCTACCAGCAGGGTCTGGTCAGGTAAGAAATTGGGTCAAATATTTGTAATTGACAATGCATTATTGAAAACTTAAATTATTGTTTTATGTTCTTTTAGGTGGGGAATCAGGCTGTAAAAGTGCAGATTGGTCAGAAAACTTTGAATGTAGTTAATGCACCTGTGCAGATGCCAGATCTAGACTTCCAATGACATGTACCAACTGAACATTAATGATCATATCATCGGACCAGCATCATTCAAAGTGTCTGGAATCTGACACTATTTGGCACAATGCCACATGCTATTTGTGATTCTCCTTAACCAGAACCAAGCTGACCTTGTGCCTGCTAGTCAGTTGTAAACTTCAGTAGTTTTCTTACCCAAGCCATGTTAAAATATGTATTACATACATATGTTTCATATGGTCTGTCTAAATGTTCTTATACCTTTCTTAGAGTCAGCTTCCTGTATATGCTTCCTTACCATCGACATCTTCACTATTTATGCTACTACTTTATCAAGTATAGACTGTTGACATTGAAATATGTGTTTTGTTAATATATTGATTATAAAAGCCCCTTCTTTGTATGTTTATGTATATTGTGTACTTAAATAACAATGAATTTCTTCAGCTTGATTTTATTGTACAGATGAAAACCAAAATTGATTGAACTTGGAACAGTTTTATTTTTTCTGTGCTTTTATAAACTTTGAACATGCCTGATTGTTGATCTCTTGTTATTCTAGTGGAAGGGTTAGAGCCCTTTTCCTTAACTAAGATAGGTTTCCTTTGCTTCAATTTTGACACAGTTTGTCAAATGTTCCCATTGTCAAGTTATAACTCACTCTGTAGCCTCTTTCTTTACAAAAAACTTTTCTTTACTGGGGCTGCCAAGCAGTTGGATTGGTTGATTTATGTGATAGTGCCAGCCCTGACAGTTGTTAATATGCCGAGTACTGTCTACAGTCAGTGAGCTCAGGCCTTGCCTTTCTTTTTGCATAGGCACTCAAATGCCTGTACTTAGATTATTTTGCTTAATTATGAAAAATAATTATGACATTGTGGTATTGTTGTACTCTTTTAAAGGTACACTTTTCATGGACAGGATTATTTATTTATACTTTGGGGTATGCGGATAAATGAAATACAAGTACAATATTGGAATGTATGATGTTTGCTGTCGTCGCCGGAGGAGGGGATGGGGTGGGGGTTGGAGGGTGAAACTCACGGTTTGCCTGGAGAAGACTCTTTGTTAATCATATATCTTTAATGTAGATGTGTGTAAATAAGTAGTATTGAGATATTTGCATTACTCTGTCGGAAGTGGATTGACGGTGTATTAATCCTCTTCAGTTTTAAATCATTGGTTTTTTGTTCCACCAAATCTTGTGGGGTGGGGGCTGGGAGGGCATGCCCATTTTCAGTCCTAGATTATGTTTTGG